TGCTGAGAATATTCCTCACAGTAGCCCTGCAAGGGCTTCCTTGGTGCCTCCTTACCTTGGAGGGACCTGGTTACCCAAAGCGAGGCCACCAGCCAGCTATCTGCAGATGCAATAAGTTGCAGATCATTAAAATTGAAAAGTAGAGGATCCAGGATTGGACCTTTTTACACCTTTCGAATTTGATGAAGAACCGTTGATGAGCACTCTGACTGTGATTTTTGACCCAGCTGCATATCCAGTTAGCTGTCATGGCAACCCACACTCAACTTGCTAACCAGAGTGTTTTGAGGTCCTCTACCAAACGCTTTGCTGAAATCAAATTACACTATGACCACCCTATTCCCACAATTTACTAAGAAAGGGGGGAGAGAGAGAGAGAGGGAAGGGGAGAGAATATTAGTCGGGCAAGACTATCTTTTTTTTTTAAGTAATTTTATTAAAGATTACAATTACAGCAATGCAAACTAATACAAACTAAAAAAAAATAAAAGAATAAGAAGAAAAATTAGAAGGTGTAGAAAAGAAAGAAAAAAGAGAAAGAGAAAAGAAAGGAAAGGAAAGGAAAGGAAAAAAAGAATATAGTAAAAAAAAAGAAAAGAAATAAAGAAGTGACTTCCCCCTCCATCACAAATATAATTTTAGTATCTTATCATCTTCTCTTAAAATGCAACAAATGATCTCTTCTTCCCATATCCCATCTCTTATCCAATGGGATATGGATCTTAAATGGATCTCAATGGATCTCAAATCCATAAAACCTTGTCATTTCAGTCCTGATCAACAAAAGTTCATTAAGCGTTACCAGACATAACAATACATCTATTTTAACCTTGATCAAATAAACCAACTTTATATTCCTTCCTTTTGCGTGTAACAACCTTGATCCTTAGTCCCTTCAAAGAATGTCCTAAAACTTGATTTCTTTTCATTCTTTCTTTGTCCCCTCTCATAAAATTCTTCAAAGCTTTAACAGGCCTCTTTTGTGAATCCAATATAGGAAAATTATCCAGATCACTCTCTTGGTTTGTTATTTGTGTATCCCTTTTAATCATTAAGACATCAGCTGGGTTTCTTTTGTATATCCAGTGTAGCATTTTTTTTCCATACCATTCTTGTAGCCTGTCATTTTTAAATCCACTTTCAGATCAGTCTCAGTCTTGTCCAGTAAAACTTGTTCCTGTTCCATAACATCTTTTATACACAGTCTATCTATAAAGGCAGACGTTCTTAAAATTAATTTCTGGGTCCATTGTTCAAAAATATCCTTCCGTATGTCCAACGTTAAAATATTTTGCTCCATTCTGTATTAGTAAGTCAAATTTAAGTGTTCTTCTCCCTTAATTGTAATCTTTAGTTCCTTCTGGTTCCCTCTAGTGTCCAACCTTCAAAGTCTCATCCTGTCCTGTTTTTTTTTTTTTTAAAGAGCATTCAAAAGAAGACCATTTTTCCCACCAGAAGGATTCTTAGACTAATTCCAGAATCTTATTTCAAATCCATCTGGACCCTTAGTCCAGTTGTAACTTTCCAAAATCAAAGTTCTAATCACCTTTTTGCTGTTTATTTCCCCAAAATATATTTTTTGAGTCCTTAAACTTGTATTTAAAACTTCTTTCACTAAGGATTGAAGGAAACTCACCCAGTGCAGTAATACTTGAATAGCTGAAAAGCAGTAAACAAACAATTTCCAAAAGTGATTAGAAGAGGAAGTGTGCAAACCCAGTATCCTTTTAAAGGTGCTGACTGCAATTTGAGCAAGACAGTTATTCCCTTGTTTCCCAGAGCTCTAAACCCTCCAGAGATCACTGTCTTGTGGTCTCTTTGTGAGAAGCAACTGTCTGGAGTGCTTGTGGGCAATTTCAAGTCCTCTCCTTGTTCAGAGAGGAATTATCCTTGTGAGATGGGCGGTGTCTAAATTCAAAATATATACATACATACATACATACATACAAACTATCAAGGAGCTGCTTTACTTGCCAGTTCTTCATTCCACTGTGGTCTTCTTCCACAATTTATCTACTAAAACAGGGCCAAAGAACTGACATTGTCTCAAAAGTTGTGTTCAAGGTCTATTCCCTTTCATTCCAGGACACAGAATAACAGATTTAAGGAACAAAGGCATTTTCCAGTTGAATGCTAGAACGGACTTCCTAAGAATAAGACCAGCTTGATAGTAGAATTACTGGCCCAGAGAGGTGGTGGCTTCTCTTCACTGGATGTGAGGCCGGACAACCATCTGTCAGGATGCTTTCATTTGGATTTCTGCCCTGGGGTTGAATTCAAGGGCCCAAGGGCCCTCCCAACTCTAGCCAATTTCTTTTCAAATCAGACACCACTATCTCTATCCCTCTCTCTATCCCTCTCTCTATCTCTATCTCTATCTCTATCTTTATCATCTCTATCTCTATCTAATCTATCATCATCTATCATCTTTCTATCTATCTTAGGAATTAAATTAGAGGGGGAGGGTTTCCAATATGCCGTAATTCATATAGTACATGCTTGTGATGCCTTTAAATTAAGTGTTCTTATTTTAAGTAGTGGCTTTATTCAAATTTGGCTTTCCCTGTAATTCAGAGCTCATAAAATATTAGCAAGACTCATTTTACAAAAATCAGACTAAACTCCCAATTAATAATGGGCTCTTTTTCCACAATTTACCTACTAAAATGGAGCCAAAGAACTGACATTGTCTCAGAAGCAGTGTTCACATAACACATCAGCAGACCTATTTGCACAATATGATAAACTTGTGCCTCCAGAAAATCAAAGACCTAAAAATAGAAAATGATGAAATTATGGTTTCATTCAATGTCTCAGCATTCTTTTTTTTAATAAGAACTTTATTAAATTTCAGTGAAAGATAAAATATAAGGAAACAAAAAATAGAAAAAAGGATTGAAAAAGGGAAAGATCAGAAAAAGAACAAAATTTAAGGTGAAAAAAGAAAAAAAGAAAAAAGATAACATGACTTTCTATGGTACAGGTACAAATATATAATATATTCCCCACTTACTCTAAAGTTTAAACTAATACACAGTATTTCTATGATCATAAACAGTATTAATCATCAAATCCCAAAATTAAAGTTTTTTTTCAGTTTCAAGCAAAAAGTCCAAAAGCAGTTTCCAAGTAGAAACAAAGCTAGACAAAGTCTTTTCTTTAATCAAAATAACCAATTTCACCATCTCCACCAACTTCATCAACTTCACCATCCATTCTTCAGTTGTAGGTATTTGTGGGTCCTTCCATTTCTGCGCATATAAGAGCCTCGTGTCCCAGCACTCTTTATCTGGAAGTAGCAAAGAAATCCATGTCAGCAGGACTACACAACACGGCCAACCTAGCCAAATACACCCAGATCGGAATACCCGGAATCGTGGCCCTCATCGACCTCTGCCTCAC